GAGATCGAGTTCCTCCAGGTGGGAGAGGTGCCTGAAGGCATTGCTGGGGATCTTGGTGATGCTGTTGGCATCCAGCTTGAGGAACACTGCATCTTTGGGGATGTCCTTGGGGATCTCCTCCAAGTGCTGGGAGCTGCAGAGGACAGCCTTCGCCCCTGCCTGCTCTGTGCACTGGCAGCTCCGGGGGCAGGAGCTGCCCCAGGGGACACACAGCAGGAGGCAAAAGAAAGCCTGAGCGAAGCTGGCTGCCGGTGTGGTCGTGAGGGTCAGATTGCACCTGGCCAGCTTGGCATGGCTGCTGGTGATTCCCTGGTGGCTGCAGTAGCTCCTGGGCAGCAGGATGCTTCCTCTACGCTCTTGCAAAGCTTCTCCCATTGCTGGAGGAAAACAGTGGGTGGAGGGGATATGACACGGCATTATTTCCTGGAACACTGCTTATATGTGATGTGCCCTGGCAAAGCATTGAGAGGCTGGACTCAGGACCCCAGAAAACTAGTTACCATGTTTTCCAGGACAGCTTAATTCATTTTAAGATTAATTATACCCAGACATAGAGCTGCAGAGATTAAAAACCCACCCCACCCTCACCCCCCCCCCAATCTCTGCACAGACCACCCGGGCAAGCAAAGGGTGCTGCAGGATGGGGGTGTCAAGATAGGTACAGCCTGGGAGCCTCTGCCCCAGCCTGCTGCCAGTTTCCAGGTGGGACATGGTGATTTGCTGCTGGAGAACAGCAGCAAATCTCACCAATCCTGAGTGTTAAAAAAAAAAAGATGAGTCAGACTCCCCAGATCATCGCACTGGTTTAATCACCACTGGGTTTTTAGGTAACATGTGGAGTTCTTCTGCTTTCCCCATCTGGTCCAAGTCACATTTCCAAGGGTTTTGCCAAAGCAGGGGTTTGGAGGTGACTTTGTTTTTTAAAGTAAACAAAGAGTGTGGTTTAACAGCCTGACTCTGGGAGCTGGAGATTAAGAAAGGAGCCGGTGGCTATCACAGTAAAGGGAAAATCTGGGAACCCCAAGGGCCACCCCAGCCCTGCTGGGGATGAGGCAGGAGGTGAAGCAGGTGGGCCGCCTTTCCTCTGCCCTCAGGTGCTACTCACACCTCTCCTGCTGCCTTGGTCAGCCTGGGGGAAGAGATCCCCATGGAGGGGAAAGTTGGGGGTGGGACCCTGGCAGGCCCAGGGAGCCTTTCACCCAGGAATGAAATTGTCCATGGTGCTCTCATTAGGAGACCAGCTGGGCACCGAGTCTGGTACCAGCATCCTTCTGATAATGGCATCCCCCTGGTAACAGCATCCTTTAAGCACCAGTATGAGCATCCTCAGAGTACCA